ATATCAGGACGACAGATGAACCCCACAAATATCAAGGCTGGTGCGGGGAGCTCCCCCACCCCCGGTAAATAACAATTAACGCGGATTGACCACACGCAGGGTCCGCGTCAATAATTTCACACACTCTCTCTCTTGCCGAGAGAGTCTCGCGATTTACTATATATTCACCTAGTTGACACACCGTTTCTCCATATTTTGAAATGGATCTATAAAAACTGCCATGAGCGACTAATTGGACAGACTGTTGTGTGATGAAGGGAAGTACCCCAAGTGATCAACCACCACTAAGTTCCTTCCATGGATCCGCACTACTGTAAGTATGAAGCCTACAGGCACCAAGTCTAACCGTGAAAGAAAACACATAGCAACTTGAGTTACCTCGTCCAGCCTGATAATAGCACACCACCGCTACCTCATCTAACAAAACATTTGGTACGGAGTCACGGTAATCGCGGCAGGGGCAAACCGGACCTCACACTCCGCCTACGAACTGTGTGAGAGTACAATTAACGTTGGCAACGGTATATACTCAGGCCCGTCGAAAGATGGCACGTTACTACGATCGAATGGTATGCTTCTCCTAATCATCACTCTTTGATTGATTGAATCACGGCTGGCGAGGTTCGATACACGGTTCCTGTCATACGATTGATTGGATGTGCCCGAATGTTACAGAGAGCTCTTGTGACACAATCTCTGCTAAAAATATGGCCGGTTAACCGCACGTAGCGCTTGTACGCCAGCCACAGGGTACATAAGGGCTTGCGATCGAGGCGATAAGGTTCCTGGAGCGGGAGCCTCATCACGGTTATCAGAGCATTCTGGCTCGGGCGATAGTCTCAGAGATGGAGTAATCCCACAAACACACTAGTACGTTAGAGCATCAGCAAATTGCAATCACGGCGCAAGTATGCTTATGACTCATGAAAAGAGCATTATTAATTGATAGATACGCGAGAGCCGGCAAAGAGTACTGAGAGTACATCCTTATTGGTAGCGGGGTTGTATTGGGGATCGAGCAGCCTGTCAAAAAGTTTGCACTGAGTTCACTGCCGGGGAAACTATGTGCAAAAGACACGGTGCGGAACCGGTGATTTACCGGTATTCTTAGGTGGTACCTGAGGAGGCTTAGCGACAATGGCTCGTCCCTGCCGTGTTATCAAAAATAGCTTTACCAGGGACGAGCATCAAGCAGGAGTAATTATAATAGTCTCATAGAATATTTTTACACGTTAAGAAACGTCTTCAAGGCTTACAAAATATATCTTCTGAGGAGTTTGTCTTTAACGCATAGAGAACGAATTCAAACAAAGCTGAACATAAACTATAAGGTTAAATTGATCTAAAGAGACGTGCCCGTCAACTTGTGCTCGATATATCGTTTAATATTCCCTTAATCTACATTAACCAACTATCGGAATTTATAAAAATCAAACAAGTTAAATGTTAAATTCATCTAAAAAGTGGAAATCAGATGAGGAGATGTCTTTTTAATTACGTAAGCTATCAAGTTCAAAGGCTAAATTAGCTCAAAGTCAACTCTGACCATTTTTTATCCTGCTAAACAAAATTCAAAGAGACCAATTTGACATTTTTATTCTGTTCTAAATACTTATAATATATGGATATTTCACGTCTCTTTAAAGAACCAGTTTATTTGTCTAAATTATCGATGAATTATAATAAATTAATTAATGAATTAACTATTCCATCCTAACTTATTATTTGAATAAAAATCATTCAATCACTGGTTTGGTCATATATAAAGGCTAAAAATTTAAAAAAAAAATTATAAAATTAATGGATATCTCATATAGGCTAAAGCTTATATTCTTATTTAGTGTATAAGCTTAATTTTTTAAAATTAGGGTTATCAACTCGTGTGAGAAATATATTCAATAAAAGAATGGCTTTATATCTCTATTCCTTACCTTATTCTCCCCCATTTTTATATATTATTATAACAAAAAATAAATTTACTAAATATACAAATATTTAAAGAATATAGTATTTCTCAAATGCAAGATTATTTAAAAATAGGAATAATTACCTTCAATTAGTTTAAAATTTATCATTTTTCCTTTTTATTTCACCTAATGTTAAAAACTTAATGAAAAATGCTTAATCAAATTATGCCAGTACAAAACTATTTTAAGAAATTTATTTTTGATATGGGTGTTTACATAAGTGTATATATACCTTAGCAAAAAAAAAAAAAAAAAAAAAAAAAGGTAGGAAAAAGAATGCACTAATATCTCAGTCCCATATCATATATAGATAGTTTGAATAGAGCTAAGGCAACAACTATAAATAGGACATTGGTTCTATAGTATGCTCCATAGGTTAAAGGCAGTAACCACTCCTATCCATGAAACCCAATTATTTGGTCACCAGCTGAATGCAAGTGAAAAATGATTCCCTTGTTTTAAACCAAAGGTCCATAAGACCTTTTTATTGCTTTGGAATGTAATGACTGAACATTGTTAAATTGTGCTCTTCGCCATATGTTCTGAGATGAATCAAGAAACTCCACTCTGGGTAATCCAATAGACCTGCAAGAGTTTTTAATTTGATTACTTTCAACTGTCGAGGAAAAATGCACAAAATACTATCAGAATTTCCAAACAAACAAGACGATTAAACATGACATAGTATATATTTTGGTGTGTGTGTGGAGATTGCATATATGTATCTGAAAGGACTTGAGGCTTGCTGTAATCAAATCAAAAGTTCTCAAAAATGCAATTGTTGTAAATAATCATTTTGTTTCAAACGCAAAAACAAAAAATAAAAGTTCAAGGACAAAATGATATATATTACACCTTAAATAAGGAGAGAACATGACCTTTTCCAACTTGCCTTCAGCTTTTGAATCCATCCTTTTTAAGACCACGGCGGAAGACCCATTCTGTTCAAAACTGAAAACGAATAGACTCAATTCCAAATCACAAACTGTTAGTTGTATCTGTCTCAGCGTGCTGTAAAGATTTATCCTCCCATGTATCTCCATAAATGGCCCCCATACGGGCCAAGAATAATTGGCATATTGGTTTTACAATGTACCACCCTATTGAATGGATGGTAGCGGTAAGCCTGTTTCCATGGAGTCCAATAATCTTC